GTAGATTGATATCTTAGATCCAACGATAGTATACTTGTAGATTATATAATGTTTAATATTGTTAGATCTAATTTTATTTGATTTTAATCCTGACATAAATTTTTTTTCATATTACAGATAACATGATTATAGATTTTATGCTAACATATGTTTCCTCCGCTTTACGCACCACGAACAAAAGGACTTAGCTGGTTTTGCCTAAGTCGTGCGGCACCCTTGCATGTCCGTCCGCAAAGGCCAGCCTCCCCGAAGCCTCCCATGGTCCCTTTGGACCCACAAAAGAGAAAACGGGTTAGAGAAAACACCTCACTCGGGATCCACAAGCAAACATTTCCGAAAAAACTTCATAGACAATGTAAATTACAAACAGACTTTACAAGCTCTGAATAGTTGCACGACAAAAGGTCAAAATGGTCCACTACAGACTGAATATCTCTCACAAGTGTCCACATGACATAATCTTTATTTACAAGCCTAAGCGGCCACCAAACCCAACTAAAATGGGACTATTAAGTCTTCGGTCGTCCCTCTACATGTTGTGCAAAGCATGAACATACCAAAAGACATGGACATACATAAGTATTACATCAAACATCCTGTTTAGAAGTTTGTCCATGACATTCTTCCCCACTTATTCCTTCGATATCCTCGTCGAAGCCTTTGCCGACACTACAACTCCTTGCCTTTGTTGAGTCTTCAATCTTCTGCTCCAACTACAATGCGCCTCCTAGCTCCTAGTTGCTCTCCACTGTTATTTTTGAGTAGTCAAACCTTTGATCCGCTATATTGCTTCAACTCGCCAATAACTCTGACTCTAGTGTGGGGTTGGCTGAGTTGTGTTGATCCCTATTAGTTCCTATGGATCCTCCTGATGAAGGAAAAGATCATCCTTAGTATGCGCCAGTCTCTCAAATGCCTTATGCTGCTTGAACTGGGTGGATGCTTGTTGGAGCTTTAACGAGCATCGCCTTACAAACTTCTGAAGTTTTGGGTCATTCCTCTACAAAATTTGTCCATTGACTCTTCTTTCACTTAGTTGTCACTTCCAAGTAGATTCGCATCACTTATGCTTTCGATTGGCATTTCATTATGAAATGAAGCAGATAATCTACTCTTAGTAGCACTGATCACCATTGGTGAGGATTTGATAACTATTGTCTTCTATTATCTTCGAAGGGTCTTTGAACCTGTGCAGAGCTCCTGCGCTGGATAGACAAGAGAATTGAGGTACTCGGTTTCGCTCATTCTCTTAAGAGTTGAGAAGGTAAAGGTTACTTGACTTCGCCCGCCTCCTCAAGGTTGTACTTCATACATCGAGCTGGTTACTGGCCTTCGCCTACTCTTTGCTCATACTTCTGAAGCACTTGAAGTGTTTGCACTCCTTGCATTGAGTTAGTTACTGTGATTCACCTTCTCAATGCCATTGAACTTCTGGAATATAGGAAGTTTTCACCCCAACTTGGAGTAATTCTCTAATAGATTTGGTCGCCTTTGGGATTGTACCATCTTCTCCATCAACTCTGCCACCTACTCCATTGAGTAGCAAAGGTACAGCACCGCATACTGCCTGCTTCGTTCCTTGGTCATGCACTCTTGCATGACCCGAAGTCCTTCACTTTCAGCTATCTTGATGAGAATCTCATTGGCACTGGTCTTACGAAGTTTCTTGGCCTCTGCCCTTCAGCCATGTCTCGGTACTTAGAGTTTGCCTCTGCATGCTCGGCCTCCTTGGCCCCTTTCATGATCAAGCGCTCTCCCTCTATGAGAGCAAGGGATCAATGACTTTCATGGAAGTCCCACCTCTGCGATACCATGGTGCTACCATGCCATTGGCCCTACTATTCGTCGCCTCGTATCTGCATCCCTTTTCTTCATGATCAATAGATATGTCTCTGTGGCACTCCTCCGAGTCCACCTCCATTCTAACTGATGCTTGATTTTGGGTAGCTAAGTCCCTCTGGACTCGTCGTCGCTTCCTTGCCCCTTTCAACCCCCTACTTCAACACCTCTATGTTCTCCAAGCAGCTCCCTTTGGTCGATGGAAAGACAGACTGCAACTCCCATGCATGGCATCTGCCATCTCGTTGTAGGATTTGCACCAATTCTGTTCTCCTTAGCTTCCTTGATAGCAACGTTTGCTTACTCGACCTTGTCCTCTGACTTGTCGGGCTACCTTAAGTGACTATGGGTTCTAGAGCAGTCCAACTCTCCAACTGCTTCGATCATACCTCTACATGATCAAGTCTCTCCCATGGAACTCACTAGTACTTGTATTCAAACTTTTCCCTTGGTGGAACACAACCCCCATGTGCTGATGACCAAGGCTTTCATCCGATGCAAAATTTGATGCACGCACGGAAGACCCGCCTCTGTAGTACCATGGCCTTCACTAATTGAATCCACAGCCCTTCTTGCTATCGTATTGTTTACCGAAGTGGAGGTTCCAGTAGCTCCCGATCATACATCCGTATGATCTAGTCCCTCACCGGACCATGTCATGTGTATTGTATTGCCACGAACTATTCCATCACGATCCTTTGCACCATGTCACCTCCTAGTGACATCTGTATTGCATTCTGATCCTTATGGGATGAACTCGAATTGTGATCCCTCTATGTGTGGCCTTTGCCAATACATTGCAAGGTCTCTTTGACCTTTGATTTTGTTTGCTCTTTTGGCAATCGACCTTCATCCACCCACTCTTGGGTCACACCTAGATGAAGCACCACTATAGGACAGTCCGTCGCCTAGTAGCTCCTGAAGTCTACCGACTTCGCTGAAAATGGTGTACCATTGTCTGGATCCTGGGCCTCTGCCCCTACCAGCACAATCTCCGCTACGCACCGCTTCCTACCTAGCAACTTGACTAGCAACATTGTGGCATATTCTTCAAGAGTACTCGCCTCCGCGTCCTCTTGCCCCGTGCCAAGGCCTTCTGAACCCAACTTCGCCTCCGCAAGTTGAGTCACCTTAGTTCCTCCATCAAATGCTTCTCCAAGATAATGTGCATGTGCCTAGAAGCTCCCTTCATCTTTGGCACCATGCAAGTTGAGTCCGCTCTGTCAGAATGAAGGACCCATGGGACAACATAATCCTGCTCTTGCCTCTGTAAGAGTTCATGTCCTTGACCTCTGTCCAAGGAAAGTACTATACTTTCGCTCCATGTTCCATCTTCTATGTTGGCTCCCTTCATGCGGCTTGGGTACTTCACCAAGTTACACCCAAGTTGCTCCGCTCCTCGTTTTTCTTTGAGTTGATGGTGGTCCTCGCGCCGACCTTTCCACGAGTCAACCCTCTCTTGACTCCGATCTCAATATCGACTCCAAGTGTGCCTTCATTTGTGTTGCTTTGGGTCGCTCCCCCACTTGATCTCACAATGCATCCACCAATGCATTCTCTCAAGTGAGATCATGCGACGAGTCCTCGCCGCTTGCTCGGTCCATTGAGCTTCGTGGAATTGTTTGTTGAGGTACTCCTCCTCAACATGTGCAGTCCATCCCACATGATTCTTCCTCTAGAGAGCTAGGACTTATCCCTCCTAGATTACTGTCCCGTTGGAGCAACATCTCTCTTCATTTCGGAGACCACCATCCCCTTGGACTACTCAGATTTGCTGAACAAACTGTGCATTGTTCTACCTCCTATAAATGCATTTGCTAGATTACGACTCCACGTCAATACAGCCCTCGCTGCACCACTCAAGGCCTAGCAACATGCTGAACTCGTTGCACACTTCAGCCTCCTACGGATGTATCATTCACATACCGAAGAGAAAGTTTCAATGCTCCATGGCGCTGAGTTTCGGTCGCCTTGGGATGGCCGCGAACATTCCATCATCCGCATACAAGCCCATGCATGAGTACCGAATTCTTCGAGTTAGCAATTTCCCTCACCTCTATGAGCTTTGCACAACTCTTTCGGTTGCTGAGCACTCATTCCACCTTGTATGGTCTCATTCTTTACCAAGCACCTCGCTTGCCTTGAGCACCATCAAGTATAGTTGTCAACGTGGAGCCGTAGCTCAAACTTAGCTATCCTAACCTTTGTGCGCTCCACATTCTTCCAAGCTTACATGTTCTCGTGGTACTTCTTGCGCGAAAGGTTGGTCATTCCTCTGAATATCAATATCAGATGTCCGCTCCTCTGAGTGTCTCATTTTCTCTATATTTTCATGTCTGTTTTCCCCCAAACGGTCACGCATATGTTGACTGCCCTCAACTCAGCCCCGCTAGGTCCCTCACGTTTGCATGCCAAGTATTTCTATGAATACTTGTCCCGCTCTGATACCATCTGTCATTACCATTTCCGAATTCCCCCGGTTTGCCTTGCCGATGGATTAGATTCGTCTCACACTGCTCTCACCGGTTATTGATATTAATATTGGACAGAGATTTAAATCCTTGACTCGAACTACAATAAAAGAATCGAATGATTAATCAAATGAGGTTGAGATGGTTGAATCGTCGAAAGCTGCATTGAGTAAATCATCAATATCAGACGTCACAAATTTACTTGAGCTAAAAGTGTTTGCATCGCTTTTACTTTTTGTGGCCGATGGGAAAGCACCCAAACACCTAATATCCATGGATCGAAAGGTCCCCTAAACCAAGATGATAGACTTTATGAGTGCTTAAGCCCCAAGTTAAACCTTTTCCCCATGGACACCTCCCTCTCACTTGCAAGTCTGTGTCATCTCCTATCATTCCTCATGGGAACCAATGCTTGACTTTGACTGCATGATGCTGTGTGCATAATCTGCTCATGCCATATCAGATACTTTAAGGTTCTAATGAATGCTGGAAATGCACCACTGTTTCAACCCGTCATGTAGCTTGTCTACATTTCCTGTTGTAAACTTTAACCCCTTGGGGGTCTCTTGAGCTACGTGGGTTGGCGCTGAAGGAAGGTAAAAGTAGAAGAGCCCTCGGGATAGGAGAAGAGTAGAATGACTGACTGAGTTGGTGATTGAGTGGACTACACATGTCGGGGTTGCAATCTGCTAAAAGAGTAGGTATTGGACCAACTAATCCATCCCTCTCTATCTCTCTGCTTCAAATGTCCGAAATCATTCATACGTGCAAAAGAATCCAACACCAGCTGATGTAGATCTGATATATCTTCTTGGGGGTTCATTTTGTTCTTGCTTCCTCGCTAACTCAGCAACTACTGCCCCTGTTTCATTCATTCATGGGCAAGTTTGTCGTCCTTCCCTTCTCCCTCGGCTGCGTCTCTCAGTCGAGCGTTGCGGTCGGCGAAAACCGACACAGGAGAGCACAAGCAGATGCGCCCTCAGCACTACCAGCCGGTGACAGTTCTTGTTCGTTCTCTCGTTCCTCGTCGCTATGTACCATGTAGATCTGCTCATCTGAATCCTGTACAGATGGAGAACCGGGGAAGACGAGGAGCTCGTTCATGTTTCGTCCACCTCCACGCCCTAACATCTCTGCGGGGTTTCAGAAGCTCATCAGGAGCTTCAAGAGCTTGCCTCAGTTGTTCGCAGTGTACGACGAGGAGGAGGAGGAGGAGGAAGAGGTGGTGATGGAGATCGGGTTCCCGACCGACGTGCAGCACGTGGCTCACGTAGGGTGGGATGGCTTCCGCGGCGTGAGCGCCATGAACTGGGTTAAAGGCCCGGAGTTCCTCCCCGTCCCCTCCCTCTCGATGAGGCAGCTCGAGGTGGCGGCCATGGCCACACAGACCGGCTTCCCTCCGCCCCATGGTCCCCTGGGGCTCGACCACATGCAGTGAGGTGTAGTTTCCCCTTTGTTGTCTTCTCTCTCTTCTTTGGTTCTTCTTCTTGCCATCTTCTGGTGATGGCCAGGAGGTCTGCATGTGAACTCATATCATAGCTTTGTTCTCCTGTAATACCTTCAAACTTCACTGGTACTTCTCGTCTGCTATATTTGAGCTTGACATATGAGATCAATATGGACTGTTTCTGAGTATCCTTGTGATCACTAACAAGTTGATTGACTTAATTCTCATCCATCCTAGTAGCATTTCTTGGCCAAATGAAACTGAGAATATCTGATAAATTTTATATGGAATATGATTACTATCTTTATCTTTTAGAATATATGCCTGATGTTGAGTGTGTGATCTTTCAAAATGGATCTCTTAATCCTTATAAATAGATAGAGGTTTATGATATGGTAAGGAAGAAAAACTACAAAGATCTATCTTTGATAACAAAGTGCAAGGATTCTTTTTGTGTGGTTCACATGATTTGACAGCCTACCAAGAACTCTCCGATTATTTATAATTTTTGTAACTTTTAGTATGAAAAGAAAGAGACAGAATTTGTTTGTATGCTCATCAAAAGTTTGTCTTTTGTACGAAGAGTATGAAATCAATGTTTAGGTTTCTCCACCCAACCCAGCAGCAATCTACAAATTCCCTTGCAACTTGGATCTGATTAAGTCTCAAGTTTCATCATCTTCAAACCCCTTGTGGTTTTGTATCATCACCATCTTCTGGTCCCTAAGAAATGAGTGACAGATTTCTATAGAAAATAATCTAGAGATGGCTATTGCACTAAAAACAGTGATAGTAAAAAAATAATGCCTGAATTATAAAGTTAATTTAATTGCTTCATTCTCAATCTTCACTTTCACAATTTGTATCTCCACATCAATGTATTATTGTTATTATCATCATCATCATCAACTTCACATATTATTGTTTTGTTATTTTTCTTTTTCTTGTTTTTATATCTTTTATTTATTTTTTAATCTTGTTAATTACTGCATAGAGGAACTTGAAAAGTAAATGCTTTGACCAAACAATTCAATCGAGAGTGGAAGTTAACCAAGTTCAGTAATATCATCAATAATATATTTGATCTCATGAGAGGAAAATATTGGATCCTTTATCTTTTTGCTTGTTTTCACATGAACATAAACTTAGAATTGTTGACTCTGGTCAAGATTAATAGCTACGATTTTATTGAAAACATAGGAAGGTCAAGATGGATGTGAAATAGTAAGGAAGGGATTGAGAATTAAAAGAGAATCTCATAAATGAATAATTAAGTATAGCTCCCATATAATAAATACAAAATTAGAAAGAATAATCTAAGAGAGACCTTATAATATTGTGGTTACACAAGACAAATCAATTAATATTACTAGTATGAATGCCTATAAAACATATTTATCTTATATGACATGTTTCTTGAATCCTACTCAATAGATTACAGTTAAATAATCTTACCATAATTCATTCTTAATACTTCTACTAATCATAATAGTTTTTTAGTTATTAATAATCTTAATAAAGATCTATAAATTGGTAACGGTCTTTATACACGTAAGTTTAACACGTGTCGGATATGTCGGGGCTTCTTTGGTCATTTAGAACATAAGACCGTTGGGCCCAGGACGGTCGACTCGTTTCCCCGTTTCCCCTTCCCGACAGGCTCTCCGTCGCCACCAGCAGGCACAACCGTTTCCCCGTTTCACATCCCCGACAAGTTTCTCCTGTCTCCACCACCACACCACCCACAGCCGCAAGACAGAGAGATGTCCGCCTCTGTCTTGTCTGCGGCGCGTGAGGAGAAGTGAGCGGAGGATAGAGGAGGCAGGGAATTGAAGTGGAGTAGCAGCTCGTCCAGGCCACTGTCGATATCGCATCTCCTGTCTCTGTGGTGAGGTTCTCCGGTGTTGGATAATGAAAAGGGCGATCTTTTTGGAAGCTATTCAGTTTGGTGAAGGAAAAGGATTCCGTGCCTGTTCGATTGGTGTTGGAAATCTTCGCCCACGAACGGATTCAGAAACGATGCGACGTTTATGGATCCAGGAGTCCTGATTCCCGGTTCGTGTGCTCAATCGCTGGGTTCTTGTCGTAGATTTTTGCGGCGTCTTTGTTGAAAGTAGCTTCGGGGACGAACTTTTTGGGGTAAAAAATTTGATCTTGGTATGGAAGGAAGGCAGCTGCGGCGGCGCAGCGTGACGCTGTCGGAGCAGCTATCCGTCGGCGATTCCTCCAATCTCCGAGACCTTCTCAACGTTCGGGACGAGGACGAGACACGCCTCTTCCGGCGCGGGCCGTGCGAGGGGAGGGAGGGCTCCGTGGCCTCAGGCGGCGGAAGGACGCTGCTTGACATCATCCAGCGGGAACACGAGGGGAATGGGATCATCGCCGGTGGTATTTCCAGCAACGGCAGCACCTGGAGGTCGTTAAGAGATCGCCTCCGCCCTGCCGGCGCCGCCTGGGAGGCGGCGTCCTCCGGCCAAAGTCACCCGACCTTGGACCCTGAGCTCGTCGCCTCCACCCGTCCCAACCCCGACCTCGCACGCTCTGTTTCCCGCTCGGTCTCCGTTGAGAACTCGGAGCCGGGCGTCCCAGAATCTACGGCCATGTCCACAGCAGCCGAACCGCCCTCGGTCAATGGAGGAGGAAGCGACGAAATCAACGGCCGCGAGAACTCCGAGGAGCAGCCGGAGAGGGTGTCGCTAATGGCTTTACTGGAGCAGACCGACAGGCAATGGGATGAAAGCAGGAACGAGGAGGAAGACGAGGTGGCGGCGGAGGAAGCAATGGGCCGGGGAGGGGGCATGTTGTACGTGTGCTGTGTGTGCATGGTGCGGCACAAGGGGGCGGCGTTCATCCCTTGCGGCCACACCTTCTGCCGGCTGTGCTCGCGGGAGCTTTGGCTGAGCCGGGGCAGCTGCCCCCTCTGCAATGGCTTCATCCTGGAGATCCTCGACATCTTCTAGTGCCCACTCCCCTTCTTCATCTCTGTGCCGCCGCCGCCGCCGCCGCCGCCGCCGCCGCCACCTCCACCTCAACATCTCTGGTAATTGCTCCTCGCTTTGTGATAATATAATTATTAGAAATTATCGTCAAATTTGATGCTGCTAAATGTTAGTGATGAGTGATTGATAAATTGAACCTTGTTGAAGACCAATGTAAGAACTCGTCTCTGTAGCTATCCATAGTCTCCTCTCTCGGGAGCAGTGCAGATGGTAGCAAAAAAGCACGGCAGTTTTGTTTTCGATCCCCATCAGAATGGTTTAGAGATTACTGGGGTCTAAGCACTCTTCGGAGAACCAAAAGAGGACAACCATATGTTCGAGTGGGACGCTGCTGGTGTTGCCATGTTACATGCCTGTCCGGATTTAATGTGAACATGTGATGGTGTTTCCCAAGCAAATGGTGGGGCTACTTTGTGTTTTGGCTCTCTTCAGCAACTGGCTGGAAAGCGATGGCAGCACAGCTTTCTTCTTACCCCAAGAAGAAGAAGAAGAAGAAGAAGACTACCTCCGAGAACTATATACAGAGTTAGTTGTTTATCAGAACCACAAAAAAAAAACCCTTCTGTTCCCAACTATTTAAAGGTCAGCTGGATTTTGAGTATGTGGAGTACTCACGGTACAGAATTAAATAGTGAGTAATTTTCTGAAATATATATATATATATATATATATATATTAGTTTTAATTTTTTTTATCATATTTCTTTTAAAAGATAAATAACGAATATGGAATTCGAGCTCAGGACCTTACGATAAACTAACCGGGCTAGTTAACACCAAGGTCTGTCATATCGGGCGGTATGTACCGGTTCGACAGGTTACCGGTATGCGGACCGTCCGGTACCACTACAGTACTACAGTATGAAAAAGTATAAAATTATTCGATACATCATGGTGTACCGCTCGGTACGCCCTGATGTACTGTCCGATACACCGGTACCGTACCATACCGAGCCCGGATTGACACGTCGGTACGGTACAATACGACGAACCTTGGTTAATACATTCTCATTTATGTATTTATTACAACGAGAGCTCTGAAAAAATAATCAAAATACTCTTCAAAAAGTGATTTCTTATTGAAATCCAATTAAAGCTAAATTAATCTAGGACTTTTAAATAAAATTATAGTATTTATTGTTTACAATATATTCTAATAGAATTATAATGTTTTTTTATCTACAGTGAATGGAATTACAAATGTTTTTTTTTATCACCTAACCAAAAATTCTTAAACTCCATTAAAATGAAAAAACAATGTTGCTAGATTTTTTATTATCTTTCCTTCATAATAAATTATTATAAATAAGATTTTTTAAATATTTAGACCTAAATTTAAGACAAAGTGGAAAAAAATAAAATTTTTATCGTGATTTATTTTGAAATATGTAAAGAAGACCTTCGGAATGTTCTTCGGAAACCATTCAAATTCGCATATTAATGATGTTATAATATCTCCAAACTTATAACTTAATATTTATTTTTTAATGAAAATTTTAATTAATTAAAACTGAGTTATAATATTTTTATTAGAATTATAATGGTTTAATTCGGTGAAGTCTTTGAAAGCGAAAGAAATATTAAAATTATTTTTTTTCTCTCTTTCTTATCAATCCATGTCACATGTTATGTTTTAGTTGAATGCAACTGACGACATTAGGATGAATGATACTATTTATTTTATTTTTAAAACTATATAAATTATAATATAATTTTTTCCAAATACATGAGGTAATTAATACGTAATTAGTCCCACTTTTTAAGGGTCGAAGTTTGCGACTACGATTTCACGATCCGATGCTTAGGGCTCAATAAATAGCCAGCTAAATTTGAATGACTATAGATCTCATTATGCGATACACTAGCATCAGTATTTCCAATGGAATCAACGCACACAAACTATGGTTGTGAACATCTCTGTACCTTCTACATTCTTTTAGCTTTGCTCTATCCTTTCTGCAGCTTTTATTTTCTTTGGGCTTCTGCTTTTATGATCTCAATATTTTGGCCAAGGATTCATAGTACATTGAAGAGGAATCTACTAATAGGCTTGTGAACTCACAACACACAATCATATACGTCTAGACAACTACCAACAATAATCCATAATTAGGTTGTACAAAATAATTATCTTAGATAAATTACAAGTATTTACTTATTAAATCTTTCTCTATATCTCCTTATATCACTAATACCAATTACAACATCTATAAAATCTTCCTTCACATGTCTATATCATTTTAATTTTTTTTTCTAAATAGATAAAATGTATTATCATAAGTTCATCCATTACTAATATTAAAAAAAATAAATACTTGAGATTGAACCCTGATATAATAAATAAATAACCTACAAAACACATTCCCTACCTACGGTTCTAATGCTAATCCATGTACTAATGTATATATTTTTATAACATCAATACAATTAACCAATACATCTATTTTCTAAAACGCACCTTCATAATTATCTGAGGACTCTATCATAAGCTTTTTTTTAGAATGTACAAATCTCTACTTTTTTTTTCTCTCTCTATGGCTTTTTATTAATTATATTACAATTTCAAGTAACAAACTAAATTAATCTTGAAATACTTGTCTTACATCTGATTCTATCTTCAATTTAAGTCCTACATTCTCACCTCTTTTCATATTCTTTCAAAGATTTATTTCCTTATTCCCTTTGATTTTAATAACAAATCTATAATTACTAAGCCTACCACTATTATTTAACTTTCTACGACAAGAGTGCTGAATCCAAGCAGAATTCATAGTTCCCCTGGATGCAGGTGAGATCTGGATGTCTGGGGTCCAAGTGAGGTTGGGTTATATGCCTTCTGCATGATCCTGAACTAAAACATATGCATGCCACTCCATCCAGCAAAATTAGATCAACAAGCAAACAAAGAGAATAGGAATCAGTTCATGGTAGTAGCACCTGTCAACAGGTTCATCATCCACCCAACTGCTGCTCCTGCAGCTGATATGCTAAAACGTTTTCAAGAATTCACATTCATTTTCCAATTATTGTTTGTCCAGTAGACTTCATCGACCTGGAAATGTATAACTCTTGCAAATGTATGATCTTTCAGTGCAAGTATAACTCATATAACTTCATCGATCTGGAAACATGGTGATGAATCTGCCTAACTTGAAAGGATACACTTATCTTTCAATACAACATGCTGGAGACCTCTGCTAAATATATGTGTTCTGAAAGGTGATTGGTTTGGTAGGGCACTTGTCAGGCTGCCGAACTATATAAATCTCATCTCCAGTACTGTTGTAAAGATCCTGATTGCGGTGCCATGTCCACAAAGCATGTGTCTCATTCTTCACCTGCAAGCAATTTACAGGTTAAAGATCTGTTACTAGACGAAAAGTAAAAAGAGTGGGGATGAAGGTAAGGAGCTCTTTACCTCTAGGATCCCATGACCAAAGCTACTTTCTCTATAAGCACTATACTCAGGCTGACGGTCCCAGCAGAACTTGCCTGCAGCTGGGCCTGAAGTGAAGTTGAATGCGCAGAATCCACCCATGTACTCGTCAGGTGTGGTTAGTGGATCTGGACATCCACCAGGATCATCTGCATGGTTGACTGCCATCTTCTCACGGTTGCCACCATCTCCTACTGTGATATAGACCGGACCGCATGGGTCCAATGAATAGTTGTACACCCGGTTTGATCGTTCATAGGCATGAACCTAACAGCTCAGGAGATGAACAAGGTAAAAGGATGTTAGTGATTCAAAATTTAACAAAATATGAGAGAAAGAGCAGTACAAGAGATTGTTTAAAACTTTAAATAATAAAATAATTAACACTCTTTGAAAAAGATTGGGAAGCAAAATCAAAATTGATATTATATTTTCAAATCAAGATTTAAGTGACAGCACATTTTTTCTCCTAAATGTCCACATGTTCAGGTTAAATAAAACTTCATGTTACAATTCTCAAAACAAAGTAATGCAACTGATGACAGCTATAACAAAACAAATTGAAAAGGTGTGATGCTCAACTTGGGTTATTGTTTAAATGCTGAAAATAGTTCCTTTATCGCTTAAAAATTCTTATCTGATCTTATAGCCATTACGTCAGATCGTATTTACTACTCATCAACTCTCTAAGGAATTCAAGTCGTACCGGCCAATTGTTTTGTTATCTATTAACTCTTGGTTTTTTTCCTTTGATAAAAACCATATCGACTGTTTGAACAGTCCAAGCATAGACAAAAGCAACAGAGGCTTACATGACCATTGAACACAATGTCAACACCATAAGAGTAAAGTAGTTCCTCCATTTCCACCCTCATACACTCGGCTTCTCTATAATGAGCTTTATATGTGCTGTACCAAGGTGGATGCCAAGTAGCTATCAGCCATGGTGTCACTGTTCGGTCAACCATTTCCAGGTCTCTTTCCAACCACTTGTATTGTTCACCTGAAATATGCAATAATGTATTACTTAAGAAACTGTCATCATAAGGAAGTTCAATTAGACAAATTGAACTAAGGGGATGCTGCAACATTCTGGGAAGCATCGTGACTGAATGCCTATCCAGATTATCACAATGTCACTTTGTGGGATCTTACAATTCAGACTAACAAGCTTAGCACAAAATGGATAATTTGTTTTCAGTCAATTCTCCAATGGAAAAAAATCCAGTAGGAATTATAGAACATCCGGTTCCTTACATGACGCTGATCACATTCTATAAGTCAGCCTGACTTTCCAAGTCGTTCATTAAAAGACTAAGCCTTGTGGATTTTTGGGCAAATGTCGATGACATATTTTCATCCTCCAGTTTGCCATGGATGTCTTTGGTGAAGGACTTCTGTGGATGTAAAGTGAACAGGTCCACTCTCCATTGTAGGTGTTCATTCTTTAAGAGTAGAATGCATGGTGTTGAAAATTTTTGCTAGTGTGGATTATATTTGAGTTATATAGAGAGGTGTATCAGATTTAATGAGACAAATGGCTTGATGATACTCGCATAATCTGTCTTCTTGCAATACCTGTTATCTTCTCATATTGTATGAAACAACTATATATATTCAACAATGGCAACCAACCTACATCTCTTTCTTCACAAGGTTTGCTATGATTCAACTCAATGATTTTCTTTTGTTGAGTCCATATTATATGGATGCCTCCTGTAGATTTGTTAGAAAAAGAATTGTTTGTTGCTTTTGTTAATTATAGCAGCCCCAATGAAAGTAAAGGTCATCATTTAGCAAGATATCAGTTCAAGATGAAAACAATACTAATTTACAGTTGTCAACTATTGGAGATTAATGACCAATTCCAACTAGAATTCCCTTCTCAAAGAATGTTTGAAAGGACTTTCAAGAGAAAATTTAGGATCACTGGAATGACTACTGAAGCTTTTAGGAGAACTGTGACCTGATTATGCATAGATTTATAGTAATAGAAATTCTTTTGAGGCATTTGGAAGGGCAGAACTTACAGAAGACACATAGAAATGAGCTCTTGCACATAAAAATGATCTCTTGCAAAACAAGGATACGATTTATGACTATCAGTTCTTGAATTAAAAAATTCGGCATGTGATCCTCGTATCGTCATTGTTTGTTCTCATTCTTTATTTCGAGGACTGTTGTATTGCATATAGCCTACCCTAAAGAGATCCCTCATTGGAATGATATAATATCAACACTGTGTGTCAAGTGTCCATACACTCAACATGACACTTCACCAATAAAAATTCTTTTTTTTTTCTAAATTTTATTTTGGTTTTTAGCAAATTTTATCATCTATTGTATATATTACGATCACAAGATCTCATCTAGGATCATAGTAATGTATACTCAGCATAGTGTCATATAAAGGAGTAAAGGACAACATATAACTTGCCGAGTCAAGCAAATCCATCACAGTACATCAAAAATCAGTTAAAAGCAATACACAAGCCCAATGATTCTTACTCAATAATATCAAGCTTCAAAAGCAATGCAATCCGGTCAAAGAAACCTAAAACCATGTTGCTGGGATAGGGCCTGGAGGGTTAACAGGCACCAATTTCTAAAATTATAATTTTGTCTAAAATATTCTCATTGCTAGTCTTATGTAATGATATGTCCCAGACCTTGTACCATTGAATAAGCCAAGAACACTGAATTCAGTCTTGCAAATTGGTGTGCACCAGACGATGCATAAGACTGATTGACATATACCAACCTGCAATGGTTTGGTACTGACCTCTACTGATCTCTTATCAATCTATACTGATTGGTATATCTCGATAATATAACATACCAGTACATACTGCCCATAACACCTTATACTTCAATTTCCTTGATAAAAGTTTTAGACAGGACTTTTCCCCAATTTGTGCTACATGAAATAGAAAATACTAGACAGAAATCAGGATGGTGCATACACATTTTAAGAAAATCAATAATTAATGTGGGAAGTAAGAACTACAAGAATAACCTAAATTCACAAACACCTTCATGTGGATACCAAAGATGGAACCAAACTACTAAAGATCTGGTAGTGATCAAAGAGGAACAAGCAGACAACAAACTAACCTGACTTGTTATAGGAAATGTAGGCCCCAAGCATAATGAAATGTATTCCCCCAGCATTGAATGAATAGTAAAATGTAGAAAATGATTCACTTTCTTCGGATGGAAATGCAAATCTAGAGCTGTAAGACACAAAGGCCTTATTTTCAGCCTGCTGTTCTATCTCATGGTTTCCTTCAACCACCATTATTGGAATTTCTGAAATCACAGGCTCCATGTATCTGCAGAGAGACCTCCAATTTCAGTGACACATGAAATGATAACCAATCATGCTAATAGTGAAAGATATTATGGATTCAAGTTGTCTAATGAAGACCTTATCTCCAGACTTGATATATGCAAGAATAAATCAATAGAGATTCTTAAGACAAATGTACAAACCTTCCCCAGTAGTCCCAACGAGGCTGAAAGGTCTCGTGTATTGGTGTTTCAGGAAATGAACAGGAATAGCAGTCTGATCCAGTCCCATTTGTCAGATATAAGTTTGCATAAGTAACATCACCAACCAAAAGAATTAGATCCGGCTTGTTACTTGCCATATGATCCACTGTGGATGTACTATTGTACGTTAGACCCAGATCGCCAATAACAGCTATCCGCTTTGGGTATCTATTAGGACCTGAAGCAGGCATGGTGCGGAAAACATGGACAGCACTCATAGCTGGTATTGATGGGTCTCCACATTGGTAGTAATATTTTGTCCCTGGTCTCAGATCTGCCAAGGAAATTATTTAGCAGCAAGATTAGAGAAATGTACAAACAAGCAAAAGATCCATTGACGGTATTGGAATATATCCCACATTGGCATTACCACCAATGAGTAAGATTTCACTAAATACATGGTTAAATATTTGATATCTACTGAAATTTAAGCACTTTCTTACCTATTAGCGTCAATGGAGAACTATGTATAATACACATATACGAAATTGATTGATTGTGTGTGTGTGAGAGAGAGAGAGAGAGAATTGATTGATTGTATGTGTGTGTGTGTGTGTGAGAGAGAGAGAGAGAGAGAGAGAGCAAGTGAATGAGTGTGCCTAAAGCCATAACAAGACAATAAAAAAAAAGAATTCCAAGCAAAAGATGGAACACAAGTTTAAACATCATCTAGCCCACTAAATATATATCCATGTCATTAAGAGTACTGGAATGAAAATGCCAACCTCCAACTTCCCAGAACTAAAAAATTTTACCAAACAAAACAATCTACAACTATTTTGTATAAGCATATTTGACAAAAGTAGACAAAAGGAGCCAAGAGCCTGAGAAGCCATCTGACAACCACAATTAACAAATATGAGTGAAACTGAACCAGATCATCTAAAAAAAGAATGCAAACAGCATACCATCGAGTAGAACATGATGAATAATCCCAGAAGTGTAATTTTGGAGGCCTTCAAATGGATAAAGCTGATTATAAATGAGAGAATAGCCGGTAGCTTCATACATTAATAATTTCTTTGAATTCCCATAACGAACAACACTAGCCACACTAGTAGGATCCAATGGCTCAATGTCTTTGCCAATTTGAAACTCCCCTGCAATGCAACACCAAATACGGTCCTTAGGCAACATATCAAGACTCAATCACAAGAAACCAGAACCACGGTGGAGTGCAAGATGAATACATGCTCGGCAACCCAACAAACCTATGTTTTACATGACCAAAGGACAACATGCACAAGAGAAAAAGTGATGCAAATTCTTACTCAATGGAAAACCATTCCTAATGAAATACAAAAACAAAGGAAAACAGAAGTATATTAAACCTTCATCACCTTTTGAAGGCTGTTCTACTAAAATCATAGCCAACAGTGATATGAAATTTCCAAAGGCGAGAAAAAAGTTGCTTAATCATTCACAACCACACACAGACAGAGAGAGATAGAATAGCTACCATAACTATACATAGGACTTTCACACTTTGATCCACTCAGGCAACCATGCAGGGTGAAGAAGGGAAAGTATGGATAATTCAAGTTGACAACCTCAAGGTTCCGAAACAGAAGCATCCCACCGGTCATCTCAAGCTCAATGCTAGCACATGCATGAAGCGAAGAAGAAATCTGGAACAACACAATCCTAAGCTCTCTACTCGCTATCCGTTATCCTTCACAGCTTGTACATAATCTTACAAAACAACACCAAAGAAGGGCAACAACTCTCGACCAACAATTAAATAAGCATTTCAATCACTCGATAGAAGTCCTTGTTTAAAGCGAACTTGTTAAAAAGGAGAAACACGATGCAAATTTTGGCAAGAAGAGAAGAGGAAAGACGACCTGTAACCCATGAGATCCAGACGGAGTCCTCAGTGGCGGAGAGGGAGACGGAGATCTGCTCCGGTTCCAACTCCGTCACCTTCCTCTGCAACCTAAAATCGGAGGCGGGCAGGTCGACGGCGTGCCCCCGGGCCACCCTACCGTCGAGCGGCACCGTGACGGGTTCGAAGGGGCCGTCTAACGTCGTCGGGATCCTCCGGCCGCCGCGGAGCCCGGCGATGCTCCACAACAGCAGCGAGATGGTCGCCACCACGAGAGGGAGAGGCGCTCGATTCCCCATCCCCCCGGTCCGGTTCCTCGGTAGGGATTGAGCCTCCGGGCGTCCAAAGCATTAGGGTTATAGTGAACCGATGAGAGGAGGTTTGACGCTCCTTCGCTTTCTCTCTCTCTCTCACACCTGTAGAGAAAGAGAGAGAGAGAGAGAGAGGCGGAGGAGGCGAAGGATGGCAGTTCGTTTGTCGCGTGTCGTCTCCGCCGATACGAATCCAACCGTTGCTTGGAAGCATGCCGGCATTCCGTTCTAAGGTTCGAATGGGGTTCCATATTTTAAGCAATCATTGGTGTCTACTACATAATTCATTATTATTATTATTATTATTATTATTATTATTATTATTATTATTATAAAAATAATATTCATAATAAATAATATTCACGTCGCCATCTTCGTATGAAATTTTTTTAACAAATTAATAATTCGAGAATCTATTCATAATAACATTCTCTCGATGCAAGCTGTTATTGGTAATATATGATCTCCGATTATTAATTAGAGAAACTATATGATCTCTGGTTGATTCAATGGATATACCAATCTTTTGTTGCGCAAACTCTTTACCTCCTCGCTATCTATCTAAGAGCTCCGTCAACCTCCGATTAATAATAATATGGAGTCGTAATTATGACTCCACCATCATGTGAGTCCCATTCAAAGAAAGTATTTGCTCTGTATCCGTCATGTTCCTTCCAACGCCTGTTGCTTAGTGCGTCACCCAAGCAAACTCAATCCCAAAGGATCAACTCATAGCGCAAGAAGTCAACATCGGCACATCAGCACAACGCCACCGGTATTCCACAAAAGAAAATGAATTTTATAATATTTTCATCTTTTTAAGACTCAACGTTGCCATAACAAGTGTCTTACATCAAATCATCAATTAAAACGTTCGAGTGACATTCCAATAAATAAATAAATAAATATATGTATATATATATATATGTATATATGTATGTATGTATGTATACACATACAAAGGGCGGGAAATGAATGCCCGATTGTTGTTGGAGAATCATTTAAAGAGAAGAAGAAAATGTATTCTGAAAGAAGCAATGTAGAATAGACTCCGGGACAAAAGAAATTAATTGCAAATTTTAAGTTGAGATAGGGACTGAAAGCTTCCAACAAAAATATTTTATCCTAAAGGAAAAGCTGATTTGGTCAAAAGCAATTCCTCGAAAATTTGATTTCCAAAACCAAAAAAGCTTCACACTGATCAAGAGATAAAGTCAATATTACAAATTTTATTTGTCAAAATTTATTAAACCAAAAGCATTTATCTCATTGGCTATTATTTGTAAATATATATTTGTAACAAAAGAAATATCAAAAATTTAATTATTAAAGTTCAACCCTTCCAACAAACTTCATAAAACCATATAGTAAATTTTCAAATGCCAACAAGACTAGATAAGCTCATTGTAACATTAGACCTAATGTCCCAAGGATTAATAATATCATGTTTGGCTTTAATCACCTTAACCCAAATGCACTTGGAATTAGTAAGAAGATATTGATAAATGTATTTAGCATTGCAAAGTAACTTTCATCATATGTACATCTTTACCACCAACACCCCTCAAAATTATGTTTATTACTCTAAGAAAATTTTTAGTAAGCTCCAAATGACACTAAGAAAATGAATGAAAGTTTTGCCAGGTTCTAAATATGTTAGAAATAGATTCCATAAGTTCATGCGAGTGTCAAGATATTATTGTTATTATTATTATTATTATTTATTATTTAATAATATAATGATAAATATCTAAAATTGGTAGTGATGTATCAGATTATATATAATATTTATTGAAGGTTGAAGATTTTAATTCTCATTCCATAAATTTTTAAGAAATTTGATATGATAATTGATATATCAAATTCACTTATAAAGGTTAAGGGTTCGAGACCTTATGTATTAGTAAAAATTATGTTATAAGGATTTTTAGTATCTCAATTCATTGGCTCCTATTTTTACTAAAAATAAAAAAAAGGATGATAATAGATAATTCTCGTATTAAAATATCTATCCCTCCGTTCAAATCAATTTAGGTTTACTATTTTTTAATCAAAATTTATCTCAATCCTAATTAAAATATAATTGTGGTTTAAATAAATGATTTAGATAAATCCAAATACCAAAGGGATAACCCACCATCCCTAAATATAAATAAAGCCATTGAGTGGAAAACAATATCCTCTGTTTAGGCAGGGAAAGCCACGTGACCTCCGCGTGAGTTGCTCTTTTTCCGCAGCGAACAGCTTTTTCAGCGAACCAAAACGCGCCACGCATCTCTTTGTAAGGACTTATTTACAAGAATGCCCTCCTCTCGGTTCTTGGGTATATAGACGGACCTCGGAACGCTCCCGATGGTCGCCGCCGCGCCGTGAAACGGCAGGGGAAACGCCAAGGCAATGGGGAAGAAAGGCGTCCCTGACTGGCTCAACAGCTCGCTCTGGTCATCATCCTCCGCCTCTGCCGCCCCGTGTCCCGTCGATCGTTTCCCCCGCTCGCCGCCGGCTCCCAAGCCGGAAGCCCCCACCCGAGCTCCGATCCCCGAGCCTCCGCCGCCCTCCCGGCCACCTCCCGCTCCGGTGGAGGCCCCGAGGCCCTCTAGCGGAACTCCGCCGGAGGATCCGAGCCCTTCGCGGTTGGCTCAGGAGGAGGTCTCCCGCCAGTCCCAGCTCTTAGCCGAAGTAGAACATACATCTTCTCTTGTTGTTGCTGTTTGCTTTGATCTCGATTCTTTTCGGTTAGGATTTGCTTATGGGTGTCGAATTCGTGTTCAGATATCGAAGAAGGTTGTAAATATTGGAGAATTGAGGAGGTTGGCCTCGCAGGGCATTCCGGATGGAGCTGGAATTCGGTCGACAATATGGAAGGTCCCAAAATAATTCATACTTTTGCCACATTCCTAGTTTACTGTGTTGTAAATCTGATGATTTCTTATGGTTGATTCCCCTCAAAAGTTGGATTTTGGTTGGATTCCCCTAATTAGTCAGAAACGGAAAGCTGAGGTTCTGGAACACTTGAACATTTAGGTCACATGTTTCATTCTTACTTGGATTATTATTATTTTTATATGATTTCTCATCCTTATTTTGCTCTTAAAAAATCTGTTAGTTGGTAATGCACTGTCATTTATTCAGATAGATTCAATCTTTTCATTTTCATGTTCTTGACGTTGCATCTTTTTACATGGTGCTGAACAGCTTCTCCTAGGTTATTTGCCAAACGATCATGAGTTCTGGGTGCAAGAATTAGACAGGAAGCGGGCTCAGTACAAGGATTTTAAGGAGGAGTTTTTGGTGAACCCCGTAAGTCTTCTTGAGGATCCTTTAATCCGCTATTTATTTGTTGAGATTATGAACTCGATATCGATGGACCTATCGGCCTCAAGATTGCTGGTTTACTTCTTGATATCTGAGATGTATGTGGCTCATGGAAATTTCTGATAATGAAAGGAAGTTTAGAACTATGATTGCTTTGGTGTTTGCTTTTCATGGTTGCATCAGGAATTTTTGATAGATTTGTTTTGTTAGTCAGTCAGAAATGGCACGAAAGTTGGAAGAATCTACTGGCCACAAAAATGGAGGGATGGAAAGTGGAGGTTGTGGCTTTCTGATGAGATCTGAAATAACACATGATGAGCATCCTTTGAGCCTGGGGAAGACCAGTGTATGGAATCAGTTCTTCCAGGTAAGGCATTTGGCTCCGACAGAACCTGCTGTTGTGATTGGTTAGATGAAGTTGATCCTTTATACTTTTGTTCCAGTCTTGTTCTCAAGTGGAAATATGAGTGTTGACATGGATAGTTTATCTTGAGAGTTTTCACTTTAGTGTTCTGTAATCAAGTTTTCAAAGATCCTTTTGTATCATCAACTAGCTGTGATTTTGCATGCATGAGTGTGACTTTCGGCTATTGAAAATTAATGCATATAAGTATGTAGATTGGATAAAATAGTCTAATGCTTCTTTGGGGTTAAATTGAATTGCAAAATGCTATAAAAAATAAACCTTGTATGGAACTCTAGAATAGATGGAAGTCTATCTTAAAAAAAGAAAAAAACAAAGGAATCCTGCCTGCTCTCATTTGGTGATCAACCACCTTATTACACTCTTTTAGGCATGAACCATATGTTCAAGATTACAAAAGTCAAAACATCATAGAGTATTAATCACAATTCAGGGACTTCTTTGGCTTATGAACTCAATTGGAAGAACCTTCACACAACCTAACTTTGGTTAAATGAATGAATAATTTTTAATCACTGAACTGGCTATTCGGTGGACTTCTTTGGCTTATGAACTCAATTGGAACTACTCGCACATGACCTAACTTTTGTGAGAAATATTCAGCTTGCATACAGAGAAATCATGTGACGGTAACAAAAAAGTTGATGCTAAGAGCCACCTGAGGCTTATGTATTTCTCAAACGAGTTCATTAGAGTTAAAAACTGAGCTTTTGTCAGGATATCCATTTTCATAAACCTAGAATATGGAAGATCCTGATGTTACTGCATAAGAATGTGACATGTTGTTTTCTTGTAAACTTTCATATGTAAACATCTTTTTGCCAAATAATAATAAGTTCCTAGAGAACTAAGGAAAGGCAAAATCTTTCTTGAGCAAAAATGTTTTTATTTCTTTAACATGTATTTTGGTACCAAATGTTCAGCAAGGTGAAGCGGCAAGTCTGAAACAATATTTCTCTGGAGTGTTGTTTTATAAGTTCTAATTAATTGTTGGTTGTTTATGGGGTTAATGCGATCTGACGTTTACCTGAGTTATATAGTGATGGTCATGTCCACATCATGATAACATTGCTCTATAAGCTATTGGCATTTAGTCATGGACTAATTCTGTAGAAATGACAGAACTAGGGTGCCCCATAAAAGTTGCCACATGCTGTTATGCTTTATTATTTTGTTCCAATTTTCTTTTACATATAGTTGGATGTAAATCTAATTCTAATATGTCATCTAATTTCAGGATACAGAGACTATAGAACAGATTGATCGAGATGTAAAGCGCACTCATCCTGACATGCATTTTTTCAGCGGGGATACATCCCTTGCAAAGTCTAATCAGGCAAGCCTTTTTAGTTAATGAAGAGTCACTTTTCTTAACTTGTTTAGACTAATGAATTAATTTCTATTAATTCCAGGAGGCCTTGAGGCACATACTGATTATCTTTGCAAAGTTGAATCCGGGAATAAGATATGTACAAGGGATGAACGAAGTCTTAGCACCTCTTTTCTATGTGTTCAGAAATGATCCAGATCAAAATAATGCTGTATGTGTTATGAAACTCCTAGTGTGTCACTCTTTACAAAATAATTGCTTCATGTTTCTTGAAATGAATACTGCTAGATTACCATAGGTTATTCCCCTTAAGCAGCAAAATACTTTTATTCATCACTGGATCTCATCGTATTCAAGTGAACTGCCAGTTTCAGGCTTTATGGTCCATTCTGGAACTATCTCAAATATTCATTCAACAGTGTACAAACTTCATGTATTATTTCGGTAGAATCTATTATACAGGCAGTTAATTGTGGTCAACTCATAATCTCATATAAGTTATATCGAGTTTAGAGTGAAAATTCTGGTATCTTCAGTCCACTACAGTATGAGGTATTCTACTTCCACATGTATTTCATCACCAATTATATTGAAGATTCAATTGTGTTGAGTACAGACCATTGCTATTTTGCATGTTATGGACCCTTCTTAACATCTATTAATTGTCTATGTATTTGAAATAGTATAATGGTTGACTTAATTGTGTGGACAGCTGCCTAGGTAGTCATTTTAGCTTTAAAGTGAGCTGGAGTTATATAGGAGTTAAATCCGTATAATAATCACTTCTAAAGATCTGGAAGTTTCGTGAGGTGCTATTCATATGGGTGTGGTATACCTTTGGCAAATAGAGTATACAACTTCATGTATATTATAACTTGTTCTCTTTTCCTAATTTAATATTTGGTCTTTTTGCACCGACTTTTGATTAGCAGTGTTCTCTTACCTCTCTAAGGTAACACTGAAGCATGAAAATTCATGTACCAACAAAATTGGGTTATATCAACTGGTTTTTTTATTTACTCTTTCAAGATTGTTATTTTGTACTGTTTGTTACATATTAGATTACTCTTGTTGGATACTACTTGGGAATAAGTATGCAGCTGTATCATCAGTGTGTTTCTTAAGTAGAATGGTCCAGGTTACAGCTGAGTGCATCAGACGCAGTCTGCTGACTGGACATATTGATTTGTCTTTCTAAATCTGTTAGTAAATTATATGAAACTTGACTAGGAAGAAATAAACAACTATTTTGCAATCAAAGTTTCTTTTCTTCTCAATGACATTCATTTATTTTAATCCTACTTTGTGTCATCGAATCATTTTCTTGATTTTCTTTGGTCTCTTAAACTTTAACATACTTGGTTGCAGGCATATGCTGAAGCAGATGCTTTCTTTTGTTTTGTTGAGTTACTGAGTGGGTTTAGGGACAATTTCTGTCAAAAGCTTGACAATAGTGTAGTTGGCATTCGTTCTACAATTGCCAAACTATCAGAGCTACTAAAGAAACATGATGGAGAGCTTTGGCGTCATCTGGAGATTACAACGAAAGTAAGAGAACGTACTAAATTTATTTTTGTGTTTCTATCTGCAATTATTTCGAGTATCATCCAGAAACTAACTCCATTATTCATCTCTCATTCTTTTTCTTCAAATAGCAATTTATTTTGATAGTTTTATCAGAAGGGTTTGTTCTACTTGGTGACTAAAGGTGTGTCTTTGCTGTTTGTCTCTGGAATGACAATTTGATTGTGGAACACATAGTAATCCATACTGCATGTCAATCTACCAACAGCTCAGTAACTAGTGATATCAGACACTCATGGATCAACCACTTCATAAATGTTTGCAATTTCTTCGTATTAGTAGAGAGGAAGTTTTAGTTAAGCTAACTCGGTGCTTTTGGACTACAAAAGCAAGAACCCATTTTGGTTTCTCCTGTAACATTTTCTGATTTGTGTAGTCTCTAATTTATCACTCTTTCCTTGTCTGTTATCTCCTCTAGCTCATCCTTTATCTCCTCTGTTATTACTGTTTTCAACAATTAAAGATGATTGTTTGAATTTTTTGCCTTCTCAATTCTCTTTTACTATTTCTTTAGGCTGCTCTCTATTTTTCTTGTTTTGTTGTAACCTTTGCTTCCGATATTATCTTTTTTATCATTCTTCTTTTTTATCCAGTTTGTCTATGGTGTCAGTGTTCTCTTAGGTCCAGCTAGGTTTGTCCTATTCAGCAGTTTACACACACTGTCAATTGTATTGTCTTCCTTGTACTATCTCTAGAGGCAGGCGTCATAGTGTTTTCACTCTGTTGTTTCAAACACGACTTCAGGCCCTTGATTTTATTTACCACACTGGTAATTGCAAGGCATAACAGTCTGGAGAAGAAGGAGAAGGATTGACTGACTAACTTCTCACATTAAATGTTCTGAAATAGTGGTTTTGTGGTAAAAACTTCTAGAGGTTCGACTGTTGTTACCTGCTAATATGACTTGGATGCCTGCCTTGATTTCTTCATATAATTAAGTTATGCTGAAACACGGTGTCTAAGTGATGTAAATGAATTTTGAAGGTGAATCCCCAGTTTTATGCATTCAGATGGATTACACTGCTTTTGACTCAAGAGTTCAATTTTGCGGACAGCCTTCACATTTGGGATACACTGTTAAGTGATCCTGAAGGTCCTCAGGTATTACCATCTTCCCTCGTGGAGCCGTTTTGTGAGATCAGAGGTCCATCATTATTCAAAGGTTAACAAAATGTGTCCTCGTAATTGCAGGAAACGTTACTCAGAGTATGTTGTGCCATGCTGATTCTGGTTAGGAGACGTCTGTTGGCTGGCGATTTCACTTCCAACCTCAAGCTGCTGCAGAATTATCCATCAACAAACATCAGTCACCTTCTCTATGTTGCTAATAAGCTGCGTGGGTCGTCGGCTGGTTAAGTTCCGATGCCATGCTCTTCCAATGTTGGTTAACATTCCATCTATTTGTAAATTGCTGGAGCTGTCGAACAACTTAAATTTTTGTTGGAGAAAAAGCATTTAACTGCTTGTGCTCTTTAGAACCTTAGAATGAGAGTAAAAAACCTTGTGTTTTCTGTGTTCTACACCAGTGTTTATACCTCCAAAAGTTGTCCGGATGGGATGTGATTGTGGTGGGGAAGCTAAAAGAAATACTAGTATAATCGGTGCATTTGTTGTGCATCTTTGATTGCATCTGATTCTAATCTCGTCATGCCAAAAAACTTGTAATTTGACTTACGTTTACAAGAGAAACATCTGCTTGCATGGTGCTGTTTTCAAGCGTGGAAAGAAATAAAGAAACACGAATTTGCATAGTGACTGCATACATTAATTCTCTGCAAATTTAATTTATTTGTTTTTTTTTGTTTTTACTAAATTGTCATCATCCAATTCTCAAAAGATAAAACCCTGATAGTCTTACTTGTTTTTGCTACTCTTTGGGATGAGATCCTTAATGTCAAATGTATTCTTTATTAGGTGGTCTAAATCATTTATGCTAGTCTTATTATGGTAGGTCAGAAGTAAAACTGAACGATGAGTTTCTATTTCCTCTTCCAACAACAATCTAAATTTCTCAATATGATGATGATGTTGTGATGAATTCGACAGGGCATGCAAGTTTGGTACACGTACAAAAAAATTTATCTATCTATCTATCTAAAGTGCAACACTAATCGACTTAATGGACCCCAAAAAAAAAAAAAAACTTGTACTAATTATCTCCAACTTTTGCTACCTCTCAAATCCATGTCAAAGGGAGAAGAATCAGCAGCACACAAAAATAGTTTGACATTTGAAAGGAAGCTGTTTCTTTTATCAGAGAACTATCTATGGTTTACTCCTCTCTATTTATGGTTATTATTTTAAAAGGTAAATTTTGAGAAAAAACACACACACACACAAACCCAGTGAGCTGTCATTTTCTTGTTTATTCAAACAACTTCGATCATATGTATTAGAGGAATTCAACTGTTCCGTCGAGCATCCACGCTCTTCCTAAGAACAGCTATGACATTTCCCTACCTCTTCGGCTACGAACACTGAACTCGCTGCTACGATACAGTTTGCACCTGCCAAAGCTGCCATGTCGATTGTCGAAGGACCTCAGTCCACCATCCACCTGTTTTCTTACAAATAACGTCGTATCGATGGAAATATATTTGTCTTATTTTCTCAAATAATTCTTCAAAATATTTATGAAAATAATTTTGAAATTTTTTTTTTTTTACTCTTAAATAATGCTTCAAGAAGTTTACCTTATTTTTGTGTTTCCATCGATAAAACTGACGTCGTTAAAATAAATAAATCTACATGTTTCACATTCAGAGATGTCAATACAACTTTTTAAAATATAAAGATCCAAACGCTAAACACAAAAGATAATATATAAGTAAATATAAGGTGTGTTTCTATAGACTCTCGATAACTCGCTCCAATCGTTAGGTTAGGGACGAAGTGCTTAAGATCGATAATAAAAATGATAGAAAAGACTAAGCTTTTGGCATGATGTAGTAACTCTGATTTATACTGATCCACATTTAAAATAACACATACTGCTCATGGAAATATATTTGTCTTATTTTCTCAAATAATGCTTAAAATATTTATGAAAATAATTTTGAAATTCTCTATTCGTATCACATGTAGTAGATCAGATAATATTCCATACAATAATATATCTTTTTTGGATGGATAATTCCACTATTAGTTTGGTGATTTAAGGATTATATAAGGTTATAAAATGAGCTTATTAAATAAGCATGTCCACAACCGTGATTATAATCTTACCATAAAGTCAAATTTTGATCACAACAAAATCCTTCCCAGCAAAGCTAACACACACCTAAAAGTATATCGTATAAGATCTCAAACTCTCGACATATCACCAAATTAATTTTTTTTTGTATAAACCCTTAGAATTCTTTCAGAAAAACCCATCACTATAGATATACTTGATTGTTTGAAATAATAGACACTCAAATTTATAGTCGATATATTTGACAACCGCTAAATGTTTGTAACGAGGTATACAACTTAGATCCTGGATTCTAGTATCATGTAACAAAACACGATCTCACAAAATTTAGGAAGAAGGGGAAGGGGAAACAAAAAAGAAAAACAGAAAGAAACATTGGAAACACAAAGCTCTAATAGTTTTGTATTTAGAGAGTGAATTACTTAAGCCACAGGTCTTACTTTTGGCTACGTATGTAGCATCCGAGTTTGATGTGAACTATGCAGTGCTTGAATGAAAAAAATAAGTTTACTTCATAAAGTTATTTGTGATTGTCTGTCTTCTGGAGCAACACACTGCCACAAAGAACGATATGCCGATATCTCGGATGCTTCGATCCCCATAGCAGAAAGATTGCGCCCGTACTCCTGAAACCAATGCGGTCAAAGAGGAAGCACCACATTAGAGAAGTTCAACTGGTGCAACATAAAGATGTACTAATCAAAGATTACAATAGTTCAGAGGGGAAAATTATAATTGACCAATTGACTATCCTCTGTATGATGACAGAACATGTTTCAAGTAAGTACTTCACAACAGCTGGTCTATGCTGAGGCTGAAACTTTGGATGGAAAATTGTTAACAACTGGAATGTACATGTGCTATTTTAGAATCTAATTGCTTAAAAAATGCATCACAAGATCATTACAAGAAAATGTTATTATCTTTACAGTTAGCAGTAGTTGTATGCCCATGTAGCACAAGTATGGCCAAGTTTGGTAGGTTTTGTCCATAGCACAAAGTATGCCCATGTAGCACCATGAGTAAAGGTTTTTTCCATAACTCTTTTTGGTAGTTGCTAACCTTTTACTTCAACCATACTATCAGTAGCACCATAACTTTTTCCATAATCATTTATTTCTAATTGCGTTTCAACCATACTATCAGTCTCAAATGATTATGTTTTTAAGTTGTATTTATCTAATTCTTAGAATTTATCTGAACTACACTCTCATCAATCAGAACAACATAATAAGTTATTAATAAACCATGTTAAACTTCATACTGGTTAGGTCTAGTAAGTTTAATTAGTTTAAGCAAGCAAAAAATTCAAGGCTGACCTTTCTATAAGCTCACCATTATCAGAAGTCTTTCAAAAACTGGACACAACAAGAGGCCACTATGCATCTAGCCTCAATCTACCCCCTTACACCGGCCAGCATAAGATTAAATCATTTCCCATTCTTAGTCAAAGCAGCCATTCTACAGCTATAAACCTCAATCTAAAGTTACTTCTACCATGAGCCCCAGATTTATATTAGTTCATATCCTACTGGAGAAATATTAGTTTATATTACTGGAGGTTACTAAGCACATGTTCTGTCACCTGAACATCAAGAAATAACTGCATGCAGATCTTCTCTGTGTCAGAAATATTATTATCCACGGAATCAGAAGTTGCTCCAACTCGTCGTTGTGCACCTTGGCGTAACCTCAATAAAGAAGACTCTGTTTTCCTTGCCTGTCATGCAAACCAATCAAGCATGATTTACTGATCTGGAGAAATGAGAACACAAAATACCCAAAAGGATAAAGGTCTTGACAACTTACCACGTTAACAGTATCAGCTGCTAGTTCATAGTAACGAGTAGTGATTTTTTCAGTCACGCCATGCAGAAGTTCATTCCGAGCATCTTTCATTAAAAGTTTAATATGCTCCCCATCAAGGAATGCCTGTATACAAAAGCTTACTCATGGTCATGAACCATTTGAATAGAAATGAAACAAAGCAGGAGATAATAAGATTCCAGCAAAACAAAAGAAAATATTAAAATGTAATATGCATGTCAAAATTAACCAATAATCATCAAAGATAAATTTGCTGCTTTTTCTTGCATAAAAGGTCCAAATGCTTATTATGCTTATTTTCACGTTCTCTAGAACGCCCATGACCCCACAATGTGCCTAAATATGAGAGCAAAAAACTGACAGAAAATAAGTGAGGATAATTTTCCATTATGAAGGACCTTTCTGTTAGCTCCAATCAAATTCCAGATCTCCCACTTACAAGGTGACCTATTGAGCATGACAAAAGCACAATTGACAAGAAACAATGCACAAGTTTGAAAAAAATGATAAAGAAATCTGAAAAGTTAAAACAGATCTATAATAAAAAAGAATCACGAAGTTTGCTCTCCACCTAACTATAAAATCAGGCCAAAACAAGGTTCAAATGGTAATTGAAGTTGCAAAAGAAAATTAAAACTGACTTTATAAGAGCAAAACCTATAGGTCCAGGTCACCCTAAGGCTTACCAACTAGGATATACAAAGTTTGTTGGTCTTATGCCCTTAAAATGTTGTGTGTATGTTGTGTGTAATACTGTGATGCCTGTATCAGTCAATAGAGATTAGTGACACTGAGTTTGATATTTCAGCTAAACAGTATATATTTATTATTTTTTTCTCTCAATTATATACACTACCTAAAATGCTATCCATGTAGGCTTGTAGCAGGTACTGCCAGACCTTTCTTTGGAACAATATGCTCAAGTATGGAATGAGAAGGTAGAACAACCCCTTCAGCCATTCATGAAAGGAGTATATCAGGATTTTCTATTTTTAGAGACTCTCGAATCTATTTTTGCCTTTTTTTTTCAGTAGTTATTTATTATGAATCCATTCAATATCCAAGGTCCTACTAGGATCTATTAAGAATAATATTTAGAGAATTCTAAAAGTCATTCTCATAAGGATTTTGAGAAGTGATGAGGCTTTCAAAATAGAATATTTTTTTTCTCTCACAACCCTGTATATATGAATGCTATGTTGCTCTTGAGGCAAATGATTGATCTTATTTTTCTATTGAACAATAAAGTTTGATTCAAAGTTTTGAATCTTGAGACTGATACATATCAATCCCCCACTGGACTGGTACCACACCAGAAAACTGACCAAAGTGCCATCCAATACCAACCAGTAAAAACTGAGAATAAAATGATACGAAAATGGTGACAAAGAAGAGAAGAAATTTAAAAAACACAGGGAAAGAGATGCATCTAAGTTATCTTCTTTTACTGTTCCACATCCTCCTTTACACTTCTTCTTTCTTCTCCATCGTTATTCTTCTTAAAAAATAAACTAGTCCAACACTAAAGTTTCAGAACAGAAGCGCTAATTTACAGGTATCTAGGACAAATTCACAGGGTATTTTTCTATTCAATTTAGTCATGATTAGAGAAATGCATCCAGGATAGGGGGCAATGTTAATCTTCCTCCCATGATCACTTAATTCAAGTAATATCCTAGTGCGTAAACACAAAATTTCACTACCCTCCTTGCTCCTGCCTTAATATCTTCAGTGAAGACACCATAAAACCACATCTACTATGGCCAAAGCTGCTCCCGACTCAATTTAAAGGACTCGGTGAATCCCGTATGTGACACCTATTTTCATTAGTATCTATCAAATAAAAGCAAGAAGCAGATACTGGAATATCCAAGATTTTACATTCATCTGGCAAAAAAAATATTCCTCAAAAATCAAACTAATGGTGAAGAAATCTAAAAAGGAACTAAGTACAATTAAAAAAATATATCCTTAAGAAGCAAGATTGTGACCATATAATTAAATGTTCTGTGCGCCTAATTGGGATATGGCAATTTCAATCCTGACTCACAGTGCCCAGACAGAAAGTTCCAATTAGGTTGGTTTGATTAGATTTAATTGGAGAATGGGATGGAATCAGAACATAATGTTTCAAAAATTAGATCAGAGCAGAAGGAAACAGTATCAATTATCCTCACACCAAATCCACCAAATTGAGATATATATATATATATATATATATATATATA